GCCGTTGGGATTCCGGGTTTCTGGGACGGCAGCCGACGAGAACCGAGAGGAACGAGGACCTTGAACGAGAGTGCCACATGTCGAAGAAAGTAGATAGCTGGCGATAAGCGGGACCATTAAAGATTCCAAGATTCTTATATCCCTTCCCAGGGCATCATTCATCATCGTATTGATAAATTTCACTTGGCCATCAATCAAGGGTACACGCAAAATTTGTCGTCGCTCTGATGGTAATAATAACGCATTGTTCATCGTTAAAAAAGAAAAGAAATTGATAAGAGCCTATTTTCTATATCGGATTGAAATTCATCAATTTTACACACGATATATGCGAAAGAGAAGATCGTATTTGTAACCGATTCGAGTGATCACGTATTGTTAAGAAAAGAAAAATCGCAAAATTTCTAAAAGTGAAACTTTAAATTTTCGTTTTCGTTCCAGCCCGAACCAAACTGAAGAAGATCGTACTGCCGCTTCTGCTGGCCCTAAAACTCAAAGCCATGATCGTCCTGCCCATCATCATCACTCTGATCGGTCTGATAGGGATCAAGGGACTCGGCGCTGGTCTGCTGTCCCTTCTCCTCTCAGGAGCGGTTGCCCTGAAGGCGTTGCTCACGCCACCGCCAGCCCCCGCCAGGGTGACCTACGGAGTCGTGAAACCCGAGATCCACCACGAACATTGGCACAGGTCGCAGGAGGAGCTGAATCAACCCTACAGAGGTTGGGCCCCTGAATTTGGGCCTGAACAGTACCCCTATCAAGACATCCCTTGAGTTTAATCTTTAAAAAATTCATCCTCTCATCCCCTCATTTTATTTATTATCTCCTCTCTGTTACCCACTGCGCATTGTTTTTTAAATAAAACGGCATCATATCCTCTCTTCTCTTTTTTTACAAACTCTTTGCGCACAATTTGTACGAGTTCCTCGACATATATATTAATTCTCTTCCTTCATTCCTAAAATTCCTCTCCGTTCCTTCGATCCCTCATCCATCAAACAAACATTTATCCACTTTCCTTTCGATCCATTCTTCGGTCCAACGATGGCACGATTGTTAAAATAATTAAATAAATAATTAAAAATCTATAATCGCTAAGGTAAGCAGGTTATCTTTGGCGAGGGGGAAGGCTAACGACCCAAATAGAAGCTCTTCGAAGAGAGGGAGAGAGAGAGAGAGAGAGAAAGGACGACAGGTGGGGGAGAAGGAACAGGTGGGAGAGTGGGAAGGGGAAGGAATCGAGGTCACTGTGACGCGAGAGGTGGGAAAAGTGGCCGAGGCAACGATTGGCCGTTTGTCCTTCCCTCTTGGAGGATCCTCAGGATCAAGGGCACTGGGTCATTGCCTCCACGTGGACCCCTACTTCTCGCTCTCCTCCCCTCCCTATTTGGTCGATCGTTTGCCATTCTTCTCCTCCAAGTGGGGAAGTAACGGTATCGGTTGTGATCGAGTGGAGAGGGCGAGAACCTCGGATATATTACGAGCCGATCGAGAGGACAGCACTGTCAAGAGGCTGGAGAACTCGAGGCGAGAAGTTGATGAGTCGAATGATGGGTTTTTTTGGGTTTGGATTTCCATTTTGAATTTTGTTCACGCATAAAGTTATAATTTATTTGAAAGATTCTTCCTAGTATCTATGAACAATCTTTTTTAAACAGGATTGATTCATGATTTTCGCCAAGAATCGTGTGAATGATCAGTAATAGATTTCTTTAAATTCTCTCTTCTTCTTCGTTTAGCTCTCCTCTTTGAAAAATATTCGCATCTTGATGTTCAACGATCATCGACGAATAAAACGAGAGACTTCCTCTGCAAACGGAATCTGCTAATCGAAATAATTTTATCCTTCTATAAAATCAAATTCGTATTGAATCGTCGTAATTGATTAACTTTGCACAAAATTAAGATAATTTTACAAGAAACTAAACGCTCAATAATTGATTTTCTTCTTTTAAAGAATTATTAATAATAAAATAGTTGAACCCAAACGAGGAATTCGTAGAAGAGAAAGAGTGCAAAAATATATGATCGCGCACGAAGAATTTTGAGCGCATAACGGATGCTCGTTCTCGAATTAACGAGGTCTACGCAGCCATTCGGCCAGTGATCGTAGTCGATGCACCTCAATTTTTTTTCTTTTCTTTTCCTTCTTTTTCCTCCGTTCCACACAACTCGATAACGCGTGCATTCGCTCGGCATGCCTGAGAACATTAGACGCGTGAACTGAACGGATGCACGAGACGGACGCTGGAAAAGGCTTCAGAGAAATTGCCGTGAAACTATTCCTTTTGAAATTGTACCGAATTGGCAGAAAGCTTGAATATCATAGATTACAATTCATTTTCCAAATTCCCAATATTTCACTTTATCGACAGTTTCCAGTATTCCACGAATTATTCTAGCTATCCTGTCTGATATATTAAAAATTCTTCTTCCGATTTTAAACTCGATATCTTGGACAGACAACTTACTATACGGATTATAATCAAACTACAATAAAATTCTTATGTTACGCAAACGATAGAAAGCTCCGAGAAACCATCGAAATTCTACGATTCTACGGAGGGGGGGAGGATAGTGATATGATCCGTCCTGGAGCCGCTCCTCGAGCGACACGCTTTTCCAAATAATCGTCGCCGCTCACCGAGGAAACGATCTCTTTCGAGGATTGCCAATCGATCTTCGGGGAATTCACGGCGACTTTCTCGATACGTTCTATGTCTCGATTTTCGAAACGAAAACGGGGTGACCGCGGTGCAATTACCTTGGCCGCTTCCGACATATACAGGGTGTCTCGGTTATATCTGAAAAGTCATCAACGATTCATTTTTCAAAATTCCATCCGTGAAAGGCAAGTATATCAGATACGTTTTTAACGAAGGTAGTAATTTTTAATAAATTACTATAGGAAATATTTTAAGAAAAAAATGTCTTTTTACACTTTTCTTCAAAACCAAAAACTTTGAACTTATGTTTTCAAATGATATCTGTCCTCGTGAGATATTTTTGTAAATCAAGTAGTGATTCGAACGCGATACTGTATATAAATCGACGAAAAAGAGAGAGAGATGGGAAATTAGAATCGTGGAGAAGAAACAGAGATTGACCTGATTGCGGATTAGACAGGGACAGTCTTGTAAAATCGAACTTCTTCACCGATTGAACGGGCGATTCGATCCAGTTTTCTCCAGTTTCAATTGCTAATTGCCGCAAAGCCGACCACTTAACCCAAATAGATATCTGCGGATTAGTCGATTCACAGCTTTTATTTCCACACGCTTTTGTATTAGCTTTCAACCAGAAGTGGAAGGACAGGGGAAGCTGGTAGATTTTCTTATATCATTCGTCCGTAGAAACGTGGACGGAGGAATTAAGGACACTTATGAAATTGCATCGTTGATCGATTTTAATTTTCGCTTTCGCCTCGAAAGTGGAGTAGCAAAGTAGCGTTTTCCATCTTTTTGCCCGCGCCGCCTTTCGAACAAGGATCATTTAATAGCACACAAGGAGGAGGAGGAGGAGGAGGATCGTGGAATAATGAGCCGGTCATGAAATTCAGACGAACCCGTGTCGCGTATCAAATGTGCCAGAAGGATAGTAACAGTATACGAGGAACAGTTATGGGGAACAACAGGGCCCATTCACGTTTCACCACTTGCGGCACAGTTCGCGTCGGTTTGGATCGATCGATTGGAAAGGCGGTGATCGATCGATGAAAATCGACTCTATGGAATCCGTAACACTATACATTTTCTAATAACTCTCTATCCAACGTTGCATCCCTGCCAATATACGATAATCCCTTCCATCCAAAATAAAATTTCACTTTTTACAAAAATTTGGTGGAAAATTCCAGATCCATCGCGCGTTTAAAATATTCCTGATCCTGATCCTTGCTACGAATCGAATCGTTATTTGTAAAGTTTTATCAAAATATTTAAAAGCGACAAAAGAATCTTCGATCCAATCCATTTCGGTAAATTTTGAAAAAGTTGGAAGAAAATTTAACGATCCTAGGATCGCGGAAGATTGGCCGATTCCGGCACAAGCGGATCGCGAAACAAGAGCAGCTGAGCGCGATTATTAACGAAAGGAAGGCGTTGCGGTAAAAGGAAGTGGCGAAAGAAGACAGATAGGTGGAAAAGAAGGCTAATTCTCTCCTTTTCCGGCACACCTGTTGGCCGAGCAGCTTCCTGCCGATGTACGAAATCCATGTAAAACGCCATAACGGCGGAAAATTTTTTATCACGCTCCAAACTCCACGCCCTATTGACGGCGGATCGTTTCTCAGCGGAATGCGCTGGAATTTTTCACGCGATTCGCGTGCTTTGTTTCGAGAAGCTCTAAATATTTAGTGAAATACGACCGAGCATATCTCTGAATCTTACCCAACCAGGCTCTCCTTAATTCTCTTTAATTTCATTACATCTGTTACTTCTTTTAACTTGCCAAATTTCGAGCAAATAAATTCTTCGAATCAAGTTCTTTTTTAAGAATTTAATAAGAACAACGCCTCTCTTCTGAATTGTATTAATTATCTGCACAGAAAGAAAAAAACGATATCGATCGAAAAAGGTTATCTCTCCTCGAAATCGAGCGTACGATCACGCGATTCGCCGAGAAAACTTCCGATTAAAAATTGCCCGAAGATTATCTCGGGAAGGTTGCCGAGTCAGGCGAACGCGTAAAATCACAATTTCCACGATCACGCGATTTCCAATGATGCTCCTCCGGATCCTGTGGAAATTGGCCACTTTCTCGCCGTCAGATCCGTCTGACATAGCGCGCGCTCGTCGTCGTTGGAGCGTGGCGCGCGAAAATCCAATCTCCACCGAGTTAACCGGTCTGATTTAAAGTAGGCCTTCTCGTTTCGCTCCAAGCCGATGTAAATATAACGTGCAACAACGTGCTCGCCATTCCCCCTCCCTCT